TTCTTCCCAAACTCTCTTTTATCCCTGTTAGTCACAGATTTCATCCTGATGTTTGGTGGTCTACACTATGCCCAGGTCTCTCAGGACATGACCAAACACTCTATGCTCTGCAGGGGGCAGAACTTCAGACCACCACGTGAGGGGGAAAGGGTGGACTGGGAGTTTGGACTTCTGGGGAAATATATCTGTTCAATTTTATGACTGGTGGGGTGGTGTCTAGGTTCATAAATGGGACCTTCCTGGAGAAAGAGACCTGGAGTTTAGCAGCTCTCTCCAGGGAGGTAAAATGAGAGGTCTTTTGCTCATTTGCAGATAACCTGTGGCAGGCCTCCTGCTTGGGGGAGAGGTCTCCCATTCTCTAGTTGATAGGCTTTGTACCTGAAACTTGTTTTCTTGAATGCTCTTTCTTGGAGTCACAGCTTGCCAAACTTCATTCTTGGCTCAGTTCCTGGTCTTTGGCTCTGTAGAGTCTGATTCCATCTAGTTTTTCTTCCTCTGCTCAGGGGCCTCTGATCAGGGTTGCTACCAGTTGGCCATCTTCCCAGAATTCCAGAAATGCTTTATTTTAAAATTTATCCTAGTTCTATTTTTCAGAATAGTTTGGATTTACAGAAAAATTGAGAAGGTAGTATAGCACATATGTGCTCTCCAGCTTTTCCTGTATTTTTTTCATTTTTTATTAAATCATAGCTGTGTACATCAATGCAATCACAGGGTATAGTGTGGTGTTATCATATACATTTTGAAATACTCTCATCAAACTGGTTAACGTAGCCTTCAAGTCATTTTCTTAGTTATTAAGACATTCATACTCTGCTTTTAGAAAGATTCACTTGTACCCTTGTAGGATAAACCATAGAAGTGACTCCACCAATCACCCTCCCTCCCCCATCTACCCCCATCCCCTCCCCTCTCCTACCCCTCTTCACATATTCTAAGGCTATATTTAGGTTATAACATTCTTCCTATGAAAGCTATAAATCAGTCTCAAAGTAGGGCTGTGTGCATTGGATACTTTTTCTTCCGTTCTTGAGATACTTTGCTAAGAAGAACATTTTCCAGTTCCATCCATGTAAACATGAAAGAGGTAAAGTCTCCATCTTTCTTTAGGGCTGCATAATATTCCATGGTGTACATATACCACAGTTTATTGATCCATTCGTGGGTTGATGGGCACTTGGGCTTCTTCCATGACCTAGCAATTATGAATTGGGCTATAAACATATGGGCTATAAACATTCTGATACAAATACCTTTATTGTAATTTGATTTTTGGTCTTCTGGATATATACCTCAGAAAAGAATTGCAGGATCAAATGGCAGGTCTATTTTTAGTTCTCTAAGTGTTCTCCAGATGTCTCTTCAAAAGGAACAAATCAATTTGCATTCCCACCAGCAGTGTGGAAGTGTTCCCTTTTCTCCACATCCACGCCAACATCTCTGGTTTTGGGATTTTGTGATATGGGCCAATCTTACTAGAGTTAGGTGATATCTCAAAGTAGTTTTAATTTGCAATTCTCTGATAATTAAGGATGGTGAGCATTTTTTCATATATCTGTAGGCCATGTGCCTATCTTCTTTAGAGAAATTTCTATTCAAGTCCCTTGCCCATCCTGTGATGGGATCGCTTGTTTTTTCCTTGCTAATACATTGAGTTCTCTATGGATTCTGGTTATTAAGCCTTTGTCAGAGACATAACCAGGAAATATCTTCTTCCATTCTGAGGCTGTCTACCTACTTTATTTACTGTGTTCTGGCTGTGCAGAAGCTTTTTAGTTCGACCAAGTCCCAAAAGTGTATTTTTGATGTTGCTTCAATTGCCCGAGGGGTCCTCCTCATAAAGTTCTCACCCAAGCCAATTTCTTCAAGTGTTTTCCCTACACCTTCTTCTAGTATTTTTATAGTTTCATGTCTTAAGAGTAAATCTTTAATCCAGTGAGAGTCTATCTTAGTTAATGGTTAAAGGTGTGGGTCTAGTTTCAGTCTTCTACAGGTTGCCAGCCAGTTAGCCCAGCACCATTTGTTAAATAGGGAATCTTTTCCCCACTCGATGTTTTTAATTGGCTTGTCAAAGATCAGATAACGGTAGGAAGCTGGATTCATCTCGTCTCTCTATTCTGTTCCACACATCTACCTACCTGTTTTTGTGCCAGTACCATGCTGTTTAGATCACTATCAATTTATAGTATAGTCTGAGGTCTGGTAATGTAATTTCTCCTGCTTTGTTTTTATTTCTGAGTAATGTCTTTGCTATTCAAGGTTTTTTCTGATTCCATATGAAATATTTATTTTTTCTAGATCTTTAATGTATGACAGTGGAGCTTTAATGGGGATTGCATTAAAATTATATATTGCTTTGGGTAATATGGACATTTTAACAATGCTGATTCTTCCCAGCCATGAGCATGGTATGTTTTTCCATTTGTTAACATTTTCAGCTATTTCTTTTCTTAGAGTTTCATAGTTCTCTTTATAGAGATCTTTCACACCCTTTGTTAGGTAAACTCCCAAATATTTCATCTTCTTTGGCACTACTGTGAACGGAATAGAGTCCTTGACTGTTTTTTCAGCTTTGCTGCTGTTGGTATATATATAAAGGCTACTGATTTATGAGTGCTGATTTTGTAACCTGAGATGCTGCTGTATTACTTGATCACTTCTATGAGTTTAATAGTAGAATCCCTGGTATGTTCCATATATACAATCATATCATCTGTGAAGAGTGAAAGTTTAATCTCTTCTGACCCTATATGGATGCCTTTGATCGCTTTTTCTTCCCGAATTGCTATGGCTAAAACTTCCATTACAAGGTTAAAAAGCAGTGGAGACAATGGGCAACAGTTTTTCCTGTATTAACATCTTTTATCACTATGGTTCATTTGGAACAATTAATGATGCATATTGATACATTGTTATTAACTAAAGTCCACAGTTTATTCAGAGTTTCTTAGTTTTTACCTTATGTTATTTTTGTGTTCCAAGATCCCACATTATGCTTCCTTGTCAGTTTCCCTAACTTTCCTTGATTTTGATGACTTTGACAGTTTTGAGGAGCAGCCAAGTGTCTTGCAGGATGACCCACTCCTGGAATCTGTTTTCCTCATGATGAGACTAAGGTTATAGGTTTCAGAAGGAAGACCAGCTCAGTGTAATTTTCCTAAGAGCAATTTTGATACCTTATAGATTAAAACACATCTAGCTTTCACCACATATAAACTATGTGTCCTTGTTAGGATTGTGCTGCTTCTGTGTGATTTGAGGCAGAAAAGAATATAAAGACTTAAAAAAAGTTTAGCTTTAAAAAAAATAAAGAGGTAGGTAAAGACAGCACATACTAGTCCTTTTAATTTGCTTTCCCAAGTAAGCATTTTTTTATGAATTAAAATTATTACGACAGAGTCAGACAAAAATGCATAAATAATATATAACTTGTTCAATTCCATGTATCTTAGAGGTAATATTTGGGATTTATGTCAATAACCGTTAATTATATTTATGTTTTCAAAGCACACTGTCATGTTTTTATCTACCAAATAAACAATAAAGCATTATGCAGGATTCTATAGATTACTGGTAAAAAATAGGCTGTCTTAAATCTTTAGAAAATTTATAGTAGGCAAAGAATTCTCTCCTGAGCAGTGGTTCTCAAACTTTAGTGTGCATCAGATTGATCTGAAGGGCTGTTCAGATGCAGATTCCTGGCTGGGTACCAGGTGCCATCTCCAGCAGTTTCTGATTTGGTGGTTCTGGGGTAGAACCTGAGAGTGTCCATTCTAACAAGCTCTCAGGCGATGCTGAGGTTGCTAGTCTGAGGCACACCATGAAAACCACTGCTTTACAGTCAACCAGGAAAATATGCTTCTTAAGTGCCTGTGCTGATCAAGGTATTTTATAGACATCACTTTATTTACTAGTTATAGAATCTTATCTAGTCAATGTGACTTCCCCCTTTTACAAATATTGAATTCTGGGCTCAGAGAGAGTGAGGAACTTACGCTGAGGAGGTGATGGGATTAAGCAGCAAAACTGCAACTCAGATCTCCTTCCAATTTTAACACCCATGTTTTTCTGACACAACATACTGCTTTCTTTGGCACAAGGAACAAAACACATGCATCCTTGCCATGCACTGTGTACCTAGAGATGTATACAGTGATTGGTGCAGGTCAGCAGGTGTTATTAAAGGGCAGGGATTCTTACTGAAAGGTGGGCAAAGCCTCCGGAGCATGGAGAGGATTCACTTACTTCTGAACTAACCAAGAATGAATTGAATTTACCGTATAATTAACATATCAAGAACAATGTGTTTCATATAGTACTGAATATTCCTTCATTACTATTATTAATACTTTCTTCTTCTTCTTTTTTTGGCCAGGGCTGGGTTTGAACCCGCCACCTCTAGCATATGGGGCTGGTGTCCTACTCCTTTGAGCCACAGGCACCACCCAATATTTATTATTCTTTACAGAAAAAACACATTTAAATAAGAGTCCTTAAAGAATAATCTCATTTAAATTTAAGTTTTAAGCATCACACTATTCTAAATGTCTGCCAGTGTACACTACATTACTAATCAAACATTACTGACTCTGAAATTGAAGTACAGGCAGTCCCTGGGTTACAAACTAGATAGGTTCTGTATGTTTGTTCTTAAGTTGATTTTGTATGTAAGTCAGAACAGGCACATTTACCTAATTACCTGTAATAGCTTCCATTCATAAATCTGAGTTGGATGTAAGCTGGATGTTTGTAATTGGGAACTGCCTGAAGCATGATGGTTTTCAACAAAATGCTCTGACAATTATTAAATTGTTTGTCTCCTTTCACAAACCAAATAAAAAACAATGACAATACATGACAAAATAAGTAATTTAAGTTTTAAGAAATGGTACATTATACAATAAACTGATTGCCAAAAATGAAGTTGCCAATAGTAAAAACTTCTGCTGCTTTCTTATATTGTATATACAAAAGGACACTGAAACATAAAATTATTGGAATGCAGATTTAAAATAGTTAATGAGGTCTAAACATCAGAATGACCAAAAAACCCCACCCAATTCTACATCTCTTTCACAATAAATATTTTATGTAAGAAAGATTTCTCTTTAAATATCTCCATATACTACCATGTAATACTGTTAATTAAACCCATAGTTATATTTATTTAAATAAAAATTAATAACCGCCCCAATTGCTGATTTTCATATCACAAAACATAAGTATTTTAAATCACAACTTCAGGGTGGTATATTAAGTATACTGGTTTCTTAGGTAACATTAACAGGCATATACTTAAGAATATATTTTCATCTATAGGTCAGGTAAAGCTTTATTAAATGGTAAACACTTTTAACAGTGCAGAAATACAAGATTCAAAAACAAATACATTCAGAAGATCTGCTGTTCAAATAATATTTTTTCAAAACCAGGTGGAGGAGTATGATAAAATTCACTGAACTGGCAATCCAAAATTGCACTGTCATCAACTACAGGATAGAAAAAGAAAGAAAACAAATTAGAAGAAAATATCTTAATTTGAATGAATACACAAGTTATAAAATAATTTGTTTCCACAATACCATAAAATTAATAGATAAGAAGAATAAATACGTCCACTGTCTATGATACAAAACATGATCCTACTAGGTAAAAATAGCCACAATGAAAAACAAAATCTGTCAAGAATATTATAAGGATATACACCAAAATATTATCATAATGATAATCTCTAGATGGTGTGGATAATTTTTTCTTATTTTTTTGCCTGTATTTTCTTAATTTTATACAATTAAGATATATTAATTTTAAAATTTTATTTTGAGAAAAGTACAGATTCACAGGAAGTTGCAAAAATAAGAGTTCTATACACCCTTTATCCAGCTTTTCCCAGTGGTAACATTTTACCTGACTACATTCAACATCTAAACCAGGAAAGTGACATTGGTATACTACCCTGACACTAACAGTAGGCCTTACTCAACTTCTATATGTTTTTACCAGGATTTACTAAAGATAAATGAATGAGTATATCAATACAAATACTTGTATACAAATGTTCATAACAGCCTTATTGTAATGGCCCCAAACTGGAAACAACTCTAATATTCACCAACTTGTGAAGAGAGAAGCAAACTGTAATACAGCCACACAATGAACTATACTACTCAGCAATAAAATGAATGAATTATGAACATGGATGAATCTTTAAATAATTATGCTGAATGAAAGAAGCCAGACCACTCCCGACAGAAAGAGTACAAACTGTAGAATTTTGTTTATAGTACTCTAGAAAATACAAGCTACTGTGCAGTGACAGAGAGATCAATGGTAGCCTGGCTGGGGTGGGAAGAAGTGAGTAGGAAGGACACAAGAGGCAGAAGGGACTTCTGGGGTGATAAATACGTCTATTGCCTTGACCTTGGAGATGACAAAACAAATCACCACCATAAAATAAAAAAAGTCAATAATTATTATAACACTAAAGTCAAGTAGTGAGTACTTCCTGGGTGAGGAATGCAGCTGTGGGTGTGTGTGTGTGTGTGTGTGTGTGTGTGAAAATGTTCTGTTTCTTGAAGTGAATGTAATGATGTGAGTGTTCAACTTCACATACATGTTTAACTCACATTGCTGTATACTTTATATTTCATGATTAATGGAGAAAAATATTTAAATAGTGGATCTGACATTCATGCTAGTGATTTTAACAAGGGTGGTTTCAATGAAGTGGTGGTAATAGTAGCCAGACTGGGATGCAGAACAGATGAATAATAACTATAAAGGCACAGGGCGCAGGTCACTCTGTAAGAAGTATCACTGTATAGATAAGGGTGAACACAGGGCCAGTGGGGGACACAAGTCCAAGGAAGGCTTTTGAGGACACAAAAGACTCAGAATATTTATAAGTATTGGAGATAGAGGTTGATGACATGAGATAAAGATGAAATAATTGAAGAAGTATGTTCCAGAACTGGAGAGTCTGGAACCCCAACTACAGGTGAGTGTTTTAAACATGAATGGCACCATTTCTTCTGAGATGGGATGGAAGGAAGGCAGAACTACAGTCACAAGACAGGAAGCTGGAGCTTACTAGCAAAGGTCTGCTTCCCAGGGAAACGGAAGGAAAGGGCATTCGAGCAGCATGGAATGGGCAGAGATGTAAAAGAGTTCTTAAAAATTATCCAGAGCTTATATGTAGGTCACTACAGAAGTTCTGAGGCAGACTGTGTTATGGTCCATTATTTCACTTACAAGAAACACAGTTGACAGCATCCTTTCTGATTGACTCATGCAAATTTCAACTTGCTGAGCTTATCAGTATTGCTGGGAGGGCTACATACGTTACCATTCACGCAGATTTTACGTTTCTTGATTTTTGTGTATCTCAAAACTTCTGTAATGACCTACATATTAGGTTGGAAGGTGTATCTCTGTAACACTTCTTCAGTGGGATGCAGGTTTTTCAATCTATAGGTTGAGTGTAACAACTGATAAAGTGAATAATTAGATTGATCCAGGAATCAGGGATAGAAGACAAAAGAGAAAAAAGGATTTAAGTTTTAAGGGATTTAATAGGCTTTCAACTTATGAAATATACTTTATATAATTTACTATCTACAACTTTACTGCATTAAAAACAAATCCTGAAGTGGCACCCGTAGCTAAGTGATTAGGGCGCTGGCCACATGCACCAAGGCTGGCAGGTTCAAATCCAGCCCAGGCCAGCTAAACAACAACGACAACTGCAACAACAACAAAATAGGCAAGAGAATCGCTTAAGACCAAGAATTTGAGGTTACTGTGAGCTGTGACACCATGGAACTCTACCCACGGTGACAGCTTGAGACTCTTTTCTCAAAAAACAAAAAAAAAAAACAAAAAAAAAACCCAAAAAAATGCTGAATGAAAGACACACTTTAGAATAATAATCTTAATTACGAGATTCACTTGCATAACTCAATCATTTTGCTAATATTTATTTCACTTTGGCTAAATTATTTCAAATATCAAGCTAAATTTATTC